TAATTCGGGTGGTATACAATATGCTTCCTCTAAATCTCTTTACAAAAGAGTTTTTATCTTAATTACTACAAATTTGTACTCCTCTTGATTATCATGGTCATATGTGAAATTCTGCGGAATCATTCTTGTTGATGCATTTGATTAATTTAGTCATTTGATAAATTTTGTGAAGTTGTTCTGTGTAGTTAGTGTTGATTTGTCTGGCTAAATGATGTGGAAATGCTCCGTACATGGATCGAGTGGACTTTGCTAATAGCTTGAACCAATAACCCGGATAAGCAATTGTGCTTAGGTGAGGTGGGTGAGGCTGGTCACTGGTCATGTGCTGAGTGGGACCGAGTATTTGTCCTCAATAAATTATCATATGTCGAGTTGACTTTTTTGTACAGTTTGGTAAATTGCTTGGTGTCTCGAATTGAAACATTTTTGCCATGTCGTACATTGTTGGATCCATGTTGATTTATTGTCTATCAGAGCATTGTTATTCCTATCATATCGTATACTTCCCGAATTACTTTATTTTTCAGGTGTGGAGCGAATCTAGTGGCGATTGCAGTTGAAACATTTAGAGAATTATTGAGTTAGAGATTTTTGGGCCCACCACTATATATTGTTTTTGGAGTACTGTATGAATTATAAATTATAGACATTTGTGTAATTACTTTTTAGCCAATTTGTATTTTTGAGGTTATTAATTAGTTAGAATTTTAAATTTGGGGTTTATTTATTTATTAACGGCCCGGAAGTTGAGGCATTACATGATGTGTGAGTTATTATATACATATGTGAAAAGTTTTTGTTTCACGCCATATATGCATAAGCTCATTGGGCAATCTTTGCATGTTGCTTCCGCTTTTGGCCCCTCATATTAAATATGTTTTGATTTCTATCTGAGGCTGTAGGTAATCTCATGATTACTAGCTAGTTATGATCTTAATCCACAGGGGTGGGTTCGGGTCATGACAAAGTGATATTAGAGTACGTGTAACAACTCACACACTTGTCCAAGTGAGCAATAGAGTGTCTAGAAAAGACTTAAGTTGCATTCATGTGATAAATATCTGCTTGAATGCATTAAGAATATGTTAAAGTGTTCTGAACTATGTGACTACATGATACATGAACAGTTACCTATTTGTATATGCATGCTCCATCTGTCTATGTATGTTGTGTACATGGTTATTGTATAAAATATAATGCATGTCTCATCAGATAATGGTAACAACAAAAGCCGAGGAGATAGAGGAATCCCCTATTACCAGACTTGATAAAATGGAAAGGTTGATACAGGGCATGGCTGAAACATTGAGGCAACAACAACAATGGCAACAACAGTGGTAACAGCCACCACCCCACCTCCAGTACAGCCTGTGCAAAATTTGCAAATGATGGCTGAACAATAGCTCTTACCAAGGAGTTTAAGAAGATGAAACAGCCGACATTCCACGGGGGAGTGGATCCATTAAAGGCAGAGGCTTGGGTCCTTGTCATCGAAAAGCTATTTGAAGTATTTCCATGCCTCAAAGCACAAAAAGTACGGTTGGCAACATTTACGCTTGAAGACGAAGCAAGGAGGTAATGGATGTTAATCCGTGAGAACAACAAAGGTATTGATTGGGCACGGTTTTGGGAGATCTTCTACGGCAAATACTTTTTGCAATGTACCTGTGATAGAAAAGTGGCCGAATTTGAGGGGCTTAAACAAGGCAATCTGACTGTGGCAAAATACGAGGCAAAGTTTACAAAATTGGCCAAGTTCACACCCCATATGGTCGACACCGACAATAAAAAGGCAAGGAAATTTGAGTGTGGTCTCCGCAATGATATTCAAGAATGAGTGAATTTATTAAACTTGCCTACTTATGTTGATGTATTAGATCAGACTTTAATGTCCGAAACTAACATGGCCAATCAGAGTAAACAACGAACTGACTGGAAAAGTAAGAGACATGGCTTCCTCTCAAAGAAGGGGTCATCGAAAAAGCAGAATACAGGATCCTGAACCACTTCGAGCTCCTCTAGAGATGCGGCACCAACATGAAACCAGAGTGGTAAGAAACATCATGGGGTTTGCTGCCGTTTCTCCCGGGCTTGCTTTGAATGTGGTAAAATGGGACATATGGCAAGGGATTTTACCCAAACTGAGCTACAAAGAACTGGGAAACCGGCTGCTAGTTCGACCGAATCCATTCCAAAACCGGGGAATACCACGATGTCTGCTACTACCCAAGACACAATGAAACAACGGAGTGCCTTTGCACTTGTCCCAGGTGACACGCAAAACACAGAAGACATTGTGTCAAGTACTATCTCTATATGTACTCAAGAAGCTTTTGTGTTAATTGATTTTGGATCAACACATTCTTTTTGGTCTACTACATTTGAATCTAGATTGAATAGACCCCAAGAATCATTACCATATCTATTGTGTGTGTCTGCTCCATTAGGGGAATCTATGCTATGTACATTTGTGTATCATATTTGTGATATGCTTGTTTGCGGTGCTACTTTATATGTAGATTTCTTACCCTTGGACATTAAACACTTTGATATATTTTTGGGTATGGATTGGTTGTCTAAATACTGTGGCACCATTGACTGTGTAACAAAACAAGTTATGTTTAGGTTGTTAGGACATGATCAATTTGAATTTGCTGGTAATGGTGTAGTGCCTCCACCTTATCTAATTTTAGTAATGAAAGCATGTAAACTGCTTAGGAAGGGGTGATAGGGTTACTTGTGTAGTATCTTGACTGAGCAATCTATGAATGGTGAAATGGATAGTATTGCTGTTGTTAGAGAATTTCTGGATGTATTTCCTGATGAACTTCCAAGAGAATTGATTGACAGAGAAATAGAGTTTACTGATGTTGGAACAGACACCAAACCCATCTCAAAAACTCCATACATAATGTCTACTGTTAAAATGAAAGAATTAAAAGGACAATTACAAGATTTGCTTGAAAAAGGGTTTATCCAACCGAGCACTTCGCCATGGGGGGCACCGATTTTATTTGTAAAGAAAAAAAACAAGACTTTATGTCTGTGGATTGACTACCGGGAATTGAAGAAGGTAATGATAAAAAAAAAATACCTTTTGCCTCGTATTGACGATTTGTTTGATCAGTTGCAGGGATCACGAATATTTTCAATAATAGATTTGAGATTCGGGCACCACCAGTTGAAGGTGAAAGCAGAAGATGTTGAGAAAACCACATTCAAAATAAGGTACGAACATTATGAATTCCTGATTACGCCATTTGGGGTGACTGATGCACCTACAGTGTTTATGGATCTTATGAACCGAATTTTTAAATCCTACCTTGATGAGTTTGTTGTGGTTTTCATTGATGATATTCTAATATATTAAAAGAGTATAATTGAACATAAACATTTGAGAACTATCTTTGCAAACACTTAGTGAAAAGAAATTATCTGCTAAACTAAAGTAATGTGAATTTTGGTTAGATGAGGTTGTCTTCTTAGGGCATGTCATCAACGGAGATGGGATTTCTGTCGGCCCGTAGAAGATAGAGGCAATTGTGAACTGGCCTACACCGACAAATGTAATGGAAGTCCGCAATTTCATGGGCTTAGCTGGGTATCACAAACGGTTTGTGAAAGACTTCTCTAAGATAGTTGTACTACTCACCCAATTTACACGCAAGGGGAAACCTTTTGAATGAAATGGTGAAAGGGAATTTGTTTTCCAAGAATTGTAGACAAGATTGACTACTGTACCAGTTTTGACATTGCCTTTAGGTAAGGAAAATTTTATGACATTTAATGATGCTTCTTACAATGGTTTGGATTGTGTTAATGTAGAACCGGGATGGTAATTTCTTATGCCTCCAAACAATTGAGACCACATGCAGAACGGAAAGGGTAATCTCTTTTGCCTCCAGGACCTTTGTTGCCTCTAGATTTACTCATGTCGTTCCACCTGCCTTTACTCTTGCTTATTCCTCTGCCTTTTCCTTCACCTCTGTCTCTGCCTCTATCTTCTGTGATAAGAGCATGGGACTGATTATCTCCCATGTCTTTCCTTCTTGTCTCTTCGTTGTACAAGGTGTCTGTGACCATGCTCATGGTCAGCTTCCCTTCTGGTGTAGAGTTACTAAGAGAAACCACCAACATCTCCCAGCCATCTGGTAAAGAACTGAGCAGTAGTACAGCTTGCATTTCATCATCCAAGGACATCTTAACAGTTGCAAGCTAATTCACCAGATTTTTTAATTCACTGGTGTGCTCGGCGATAGACACACCATTCTTCAACTACAGATTTACAAGCTTTTTCATCACCAAGGCTTTGTTCTGGGCGGTCCTTGACTGGTACATGTCTTCTAACATTTTCCAAAGAACATAGGCATCTGTCTCTTGGGCGACATGGTGAAACAGATTGTGGTCTATCCACTGTCTGATATAACCGACAGTCTTTCAGTTCATCTTTATCCAGTTTTCATCCTTCTCTTGTGGATTCCTCCATCATCTTTTTTCTTTTTACAGAAAAATCCAAATTAAAAATCTGACTGTATAAATGTCTCCGGAATACTCCAAATACTTGAAAACCACTATTGGACCGCCAAAATCGGACTTCAAAGGGCTTAGATCTAGCCAAAATAAGTTTGATGTTTCAGATCTGTGGATGTACCTTAGCCTCGTAGCACTGGATAGTCCCTCTGATTCTGGGCCAGGTCTGGTCAGATGGGTTGATTGGTCAATTAGGGGATGACATGGCAGACATGTGGCATTGATTGACTGACGTGGCAGCGACGTGGCAGTGACGTGTCAATGACGTGGTGCTGATGTGGCGCTAACGTGGAAAACACGTGGCACTAGCCACTCGCCTTCTTTCTTCCGCCGCGTGACAGGCGCTTGTCTACGACTGACATCACGCGCCAGCACAATCAACGGCGCGTGAAGTGCATGAGTGAGAGTAGGCCTCACGTGCTTTCTTTAGATGGCACGTGAGGGTGCGTGGAGTCTCTTCTTGGGCTCTGCTATGCAGTTCTAGACTCACCTCGTCGAGAGCTTCCTCCTGGTATCCTTAAAAGTGAAATTTGAGCAACTTGACAGTTGGCAGTTTTGAAAATCGCACTCTGTTTTTCTGAAAAATGACCAACTCGGTTCTGATACCACTTCTGAGGATTAAGACACACTAGAAATCAATCACATAAGAGATTTATGTATTTATACACTGCACTCACTTCTTTTTTTTGCACCACACTCACTTCTTCTCCATTTTCCTTGGTTGTTATGTATTTATACACCAAGATGGAGGAAACTAGAGAGCTTGGCTGGCAAAGCACATGGCCAACTGTTCACTCACGTTTCGTTGGCCGTCCACCTTTGCGCTGGCATAGCACATGGCCAGCTTGACTTCACATGGGAGATCCACTTGGGCTGGAGATAACAATCAATGCCAAAGACTTCAATTTCTTTAAGGGAAGACCTCACATAGCTTTGCCGCCTTTATGGATCAAACCACTTAAATTGCTTCGAAGATTTAAAACTATCATAAAGTGTTATCTACAAACTGGAAAAGGGAATATACGAAATTTGCAAATCATCAATTAGGAATGGTTATTTTAAATTTTGACTCACCTTCTCGAAGTGAAAAGTGCCCAATTTAGGCAAACTATTCAATAAGTTTGACAAATTCATGCTGCCAAAGTTATTGCAAGCATCCAATTCCAAATAGGTCAAATTAGGAAACACAGGCCAATATTTGTCATTAGCAAAGCCGAAAGCCTTCATCAGAGATCATAAATGATAAAAATAGTCAAATATATAAAACAAAAATGATGCTAGATAAAGTTCATAAATGATATAGCATTAGCATATGATAATCGACATCTTCACTTCTTATTAAAGTGATGAAAAGGAAGAGTAAACTTACTGTCATAGTGCTAGCCTTTAGATGTAGATGCTTAATATTAGAAATTGATTTCAAAAGCACAAATACTTGGTTCACATGTGTCATGGCTGCGAGAGCATGCTGGATAAGGGGCTTCAACACAAACACTTGCTTTAACTAATGAGGATAGGATATTCAGACAATAGCAAACCAAGCAATAATCTTTGACTTGAAGGCTTTCAAGAATTGGTGTATCAACCACGACCATAGTGTTATTGTTTCCTAATTGCTTTGTAGATATGTGTACGAAGTCTATTTTCCCAGAACCCATCTCTGCAGAAATAGTTAATTCTTTGAACACATGGCAGAAAGAAAAGAGCTTCTGGGTCAAGTCATTGCTCAAAAAAATAAGTGAAACATGAAAGATCGTGTGACGAGGGAAATAAATGGAGTTAGGAACATCAAACTGGATATGTGATCTGAGTTTTAAGACTACAGGGGTTTTGCATATAATGAGGTTTCTAGGCAACTTAAGATTCATGGATCTGCAAACATTGATATCAATTTCATGTACACGACATCTTCTAGCAACACATATACATGCATTCAAATGGGATTCATCAAATTTTGAATTACATCTTCGACAGAATCGTTGGATACTTGGCAAATCATGAAAGAGGAGTACTCTGTCAATGAAATTCCTGAAGATGACATCAGGTTGATGGGTAGCAAACCGAGAAAACATTGTCCATGCATCAAATTCTAGATTGGAGACGAAAGCCCCTATGTGTTGCCATCTTGATGATAGAATGAAAGTCCCAACTGCGTATTTTGTTGGAAGGAAAAAGAGAATGTGGACAAGAACCAAGTCTAGTAACCTGTTGATCCTATCTTCTCAATTCCCATTCAGTTTCTTCTTCGAACTAGGTTGATAGTTCAACCTCAAAGCCATGAAATGTGCAGTGCCTGGATAGACAAAGTCTGTAAAAAAATTTGTTCTAATAAGCAGTGGATTGTAATAGCTCAGGTCGAGACCCGGACCTTTTTCTTTTTCATATAAAGATGGTTGCATTAAAAAGATTTTTCCGTCAAAATTGGACTTTGTCTAAAAATTTTCCAAGTGTGAAAGTTGAATTTTTAAAAACTCACAATTTGGAAAATAAATTTTTTTTTCCAGTAATTGTTCCTTATATATTAAATAGTCTAATTTGATTTTATGAGGATTTTTCTACGAAGTACTTTCCACTTTACTTCAACATCGAACTTAATAATTGGAGTCAAAAAATTAATTTTGTAATAAAACTGGAAGAACCACTTCTTGATTTAATTGAATTTTGAATTTTTGTATTTTTCTTTGATTCCAAATGAAGGGTATTTCCTTATTTACATTGTAAACTTAAGTAAATGAAATATAAATGTAAGGGACTAAATGAAAACATTTACTTAAATGCTAAAAATAAGGTTGATGTATGGGAATTCAAAACCAGCAGAAATTTTCCCTGAGTGGTCATGCCCACGTTCACAATTGTCGCGCTTGTGACCAATATGTAGCCCCGGTACTTTGTCTGTGGAATGCTTGGAGCCCGCTAGCTGCCCGCAACCCTAATGGTGATGCCTGCGATGGGAAAGATCGCGCCCACGATAGTCTATTTATAAAAGTCCTGAGTGCGCGTCAAAACCCATGTTTTTGCATTTTTCTCCCCCCTTTCTCTCTTTTGTCCACCATTATTGAGCATCTAAGCTCACAAAAACCTTAGATTTAGGGGTTTTATGTGAAAATCTCACCCTAATTCTTGAGGATAGAATGCATGGATTGTTGAGGGCAACGTTTTGCGCTCGGTTGATCGCATTTTCGTCACCATCATCCTTTAGGTGTTCATCAAATCTCTCTCCTTTGTGGTAGGAATACCTTTAATTTTGTATATCCTTGTGTTGATATGATTATGTTGTACTTTCGTACTTATGACGATATATGAGCTAGTGTTTTGATTAAAAATATATAAATATATAAAACTGGGATTTTCTTTGAAAGTTTTTTATTTTATTTTATTGAAATGTTTTGAATGTTTGACATATTGAAGGTTAGTATTTGATAATTTGAAGGTTTTGCAAAAGAAATGAGAAAAATATCCCAATTTTCTTGAGATCCTAGGTTTGGAGATTTTGTTTAAAGATGGTTTTGAAACAAATTGATGTTTGTTAAAATTGAAATTCATATGGTATTGAAACACATGGAAATTATGGAGTTATGTAACCTCTGGATTTATGAAAGAATTATTGTTGATAATGGAAGTTATTGAATCAATTCTTTATGAAGCCTTGAATTTATGATTTTAATGAAAGTGAGATTTTTGAAAACTACGTAATGCTTTAAAGTGAGATTGGAATTGATTTGAGTTGAAACATATGGTGATATTGTAATGATATAAATTTTGGATCGATGTTATGATTATAGGTGATTATGGGAATTGTTGAGATTATCTTTGATTATGTATTACTGTAATAATTCTTGTAGAAATGAATTGAACATTAAGTAAATTAAAACATTTGCAAACTCAAGTATTGCATTTGCATCACATGGTTTTGACTTGAGACGACATATGATTTTGAAAAGTGATGAATCCAGGGAAGGGAGTAAATAGGATAGTAATCTGGTTAGTAGAGTCAGTTTTGGAAAATGAATTGTGTGCTGTATTTGTACCCGCGCGGAGAGCCAAGGTGCCGAACTGCTCGCTTGATGCTGGACGAATGTGTGAAAGGTTTTTGGGTGGCCAATGGCCCAATTGTGTCAGGCCGACAAATGTGAAAAACCAAAAGAGTTTTGTGTCCATTGGCCCCTGTATCGAGTCAGCAAATGTGGAAAAAAAATTATTTTGGGTGTCCACTAGCATTGTCGTATTGAGCCGACAAATGTGGAGAAACGTGTGTTTTAGATGCCCATCGCCCTTCTATATCGAACCGGTAAATGTGGGACTATTTTGATATATAAAATCTATATATGTATTTGGCTCTTACCTTGAGATTCTAGTGCATATTTACTGCCACGTTGTTAATGTTGGACTCTGGTTTAATAAAAGTGCATTGAGCATCATCCTTTTCACAGAGAAAATAATGGATTTTAGCATGCTATTTGTATCTTGCATGATCATAATTATATCAAGCATTTATATACATTGTTAAAAGTATTTGGGGGTGTACTAGAATACTTTGAAAGGAATACATCAATTTCTATTCCCAAGGTTGGTTGTCCATTGATGGTGATTTTGGGAAGATTTTTCTTTTTATTTTTGCATGTAATTTGATAGTTATTTCAAGATATTGTGTACAATTTATTAAATAAGTTTAACGGTACAAGTATCTATATGTGATAGTACTAACTTGGGGTCAATTTGTAATTTGATTAAATTGTGAGGGCTTTGGCTTTAATTTATGAATTTGAACATTTAATTAAGTGGAGTATTTAATTTATTTAAGGTATGGAATTTTAATTCGGTTAAAGTTTCTTTGTTTTGAATTTTATTGCGAATTGTGCTGAGAACCGGAAACCTAGGGTTTCTGTGTGGAAAATATACTTCGAAAATTAATTTAATTATTGTTAATGCTTTAGAAATGGATCCTGAGTTCCCGAGTTCAATTTGGGGTTTGCGAGTTTCCGGTTGTCGCATGTTTTTGGGTTAAAATTGAAATTAATTAAGAAATTGAGGGACTACAAATAAATAATTTAAAAGTAAGGGTTAAAGAAAATATTGCAAAGATCAGGGGCCTCACAACCTATCCCCCCTTAAAGAAATTTTGTACTTGAAATTTAACTACATATTGTTTTCAAATAACTGCGGATAGTTTGCTCTCATCAAGTCCTCGTGCTCAAGTACCCTTATCAAATGGATTGTCTTTCCCCTAAGGTTCTTCTTCCATTTGTCTTGAATTGCTATAGGCCCCTTTTCAAAGGTAGCATCTTTACTAAGGTTAATTTCCTCCAAATTAATGATGTGGCATTGATTGACTAACGTGGCAGCGACGTGGCAATGATGTGTCAATGACGTGGTGCTAACGTGGAAAACACGTGGCACTGGCCACTCGCCTTCTTTCTTTCGCCGCACGTCAAGCGCTTGTCTAGGACTGACATCACGCGCCAGCACAATCAACGGTGCGTGAAGTGCGTGAGTGAGAGTGGGCCTCACGCGCTTTCTTCAGATGGCACGTGAGGGTACGTGGAGCCTCCTCTTGGGCTCTGCTATGCAGTTCTGGACTCATCTCGTCGAGAGCTTCCTCTTGGTATGCTTAAAAGCGAATTTCGAGCAACTTGACTTTTGGCAGTTTTGAAAATCACACCCTATTTTTCTGAAAAATGACCAACTCGATTCTGATACCACTTGTGAGGATTAAGACACACTAGAAATCAATCACACAAGAGATTTATGTATTTATACACCGCACTCACTTCTTTTTTTTGCGCCACACTCACTTCTTCTCCATTTTCCTTGGTTGTTATGTATTTATACACCAAGATGGAGGAAGCAAGAGAGCTTGGCTGGCACAACACATGGCCAACTGATCACTCACCTTTTGTTGGCCGTCCACCTTTACGCTGGCACAGCACATGGCCAGCTTGACTTCACATGGGAGATCCACTTGGGCTGGAGCTAACAATCAATGCCAAAGACTTCAATTTCTTTAAGGGAAGAACTCATATAGCTTGGCCCCCTTTATGGTTCAAAGCACTTAACGTGCTTTGAAGATTTAAAACAATCATAAAGTGTTATCTACAAACTGGAAAAGGAAATGTACGAAATTTGCAAATCATCGATTAGGAATGGTTATTTTAAATTTTGACTCACCATCTCAAATTGAAAAGTGCCCAATTTAGGCACACTATTCAATAAGTCTGACAAATTCTTGTAGCGAAAGTCATTGCAAGCATCCAATTCCAAATAGGTCAAATTAGGAAACACAGGCCAATATTTGTCATGAGCAAAGCCGAAAACCTTCATCAAAGATCATAAATGACAAAAATAGTCAAACATATAAAACAAAAATGATGCTAGATAAAGTTCATAAATGATATAGCATTAGCATATGATAATCTACATCTTCACTTCTTATTAAAGTGATGAAAAGGAAGAGTAATCTTACTGCCATAGTGCTAGCCTTTAGATGTAGATGCTTAATATTAGAAATTGATTTCAAAAGCACAAATACTTGGTTCACATGTGTCATGATTGCGAGAGCATGCTGGATAAGGGGCTTCAACATAAACACTTGCAATAACTAATAAGGATATGATATTCAGACAATAGCAAACCAAGCAATAATCTTTGACTTGAAGGCTTTCAAGAATTGGTGTATCAACCACGACCATAGTGTTAGAGTTTCCTAATTGCTTTGTAGATATGTGTATGAAGTCTATTTTCGTAGAACCCGTCTCTGCAGAAATAGATAATTCTTTGAACACATGGCAGAAAGAAAAGAGCTTCTGGGTCAAGTCATTGCTCAAAAATATAAGTGAAACATGAAAGATTATGAGACGAGGGAAATAAATGGAGTTAGGAACATCAAACTAGATATGTGATCTGAGTTTTAAGACTACAAGGGTTTTGCATATAACGAAGTTTCTAGGCAACTTAAGATTCATGGATCTGCAAACATTGATATCAATTTCATGTACACGACGTCTTCTAGCAACACTTATACATGCATTCAAATGAGATTCATCAATTTTTGGATTACATCTTCGATAGAATCGTTGAATACTTGGCAAATCATGAAAGAGGAGTACTCTGTCAATGAAATTCCTGAAGATGACATCAGGTTGATGGGTAGCAAACCGAGAAAACATTGTCCATGCATCAAATTCTAGATTGGAGACGAAAGCCCCTATGTGTTGCCATCTTGATGATAGAATGAAAGTCCCAACTGCGTATTTTGTTGGAAGGAAAAAGAGAATGTGGACAAGAACCAAGTCTAGTAACCTGTTGATCCTATCTTCTCAATTCCCATTCAGTTTCTTCTTCGAACTAGGTTGATAGTTCAACCTCAAAGCCATGAAATGTGCAGTGCCTGGATAGGCAAAGTCTGTAAAAAAAATTGTTCTAATAAGCAGTGGATTGTAATAGCTCAGGTCGAGACCCGGACCTTTTTCTTTTTCATATAAAGATGGTTGCATTAAAAAGATTTTTCCGTCAAAATTGGACTTTGTCTAAAAATTTTCCAAGTGTGAAAGTTGAATTTTTAAAAACTCACAATTTGGAAAATAATTTTTTTTTTCCAGTAATTGTTCCTTATATATTAAATAGTCTAATTTGATTTTATGAGGATTTTTCTTCGAAGTACTTTCCACTTTACTTCAACATCGAACTTAATAATTGGAGTCAAAAAATTAATTTTGTAATAAAACTGGAAGAACCACTTCTTGATTTAATTGAATTTTGAATTTTTGTATTTTTCTTTGATTCCAAATGACGGGTATTTCCTTATTTACATTGTAAACTTAAGTAAATGAAATATAAATGTAAGGGACTAAATGAAAACATTTACTTAAATGCTAAAAATAAGGTTGATGTATGGGAATTGAAAACCAGCAGAAATTTTCCCTGAGTGGTCATGCCCACGTTCACAATTGTCGCGCTTGTGACCAATATGTAGCCCCGGTACTTTGTCTGTGGAATCCTTGGAGCCCGCTAGCTGCCCGCAACCCTAATGGTGATGCCTGCGATGGGAAAGATCGCGCCCACGATAGTCTATTTATAAAAGTCCTGAGTGCGCGTCAAAACCCATGTTTTTGCATTTTTCTCCCCCCTTTCTCTCTTTTGTCCACCATTATTGAGCATCCAAGCTCACAAAAACCTTAGATTTAGGGGGTTTAGGTGAAAATCTCGCCCTAATTCTTAAGGATAAAACGCATGGATCGTCGAGGGCTATGTTTTGCGCTAGGTTGATCGCGTTTTCGTCACCATCAACCTTTAGGTGTTCATCAAATCTCTCTCCTTTGTGGTAGGAATACCTTTAATTTTGTATATCCTTGTGTTGATATGATTATGTGGTACTTTCGTACTTATGACGATATATGAGCTAGTGTTTTGATTAAAAATATATAAATATATACAAATGGGATTTTCTTACAAAGTTTTTATTTATTTTATTTTATTTTATTCTATTGAAATGTTTTGAATGTTTGACATATTGAAGGTTAGTATCTGATAATTTGAAGGTTTTTCAAAAAAAATGAGAAAAATATCCCAATTTTCTTGAGATTCTAGGTTTGGAGATTTTGTTTAGAGATGGTTTTGAAACAAATTGATGTTTGTTAAAATTGAAATTGGTATGGTATTGAAACACATGGAATTTATGGAGTTGTGTAACATCTGGATTTATGAAGGAATTATTGTTGATAATGGAAGTTATTGAATCAAATCTTTATGAAGCCTTGAATTTATGATTTTAATGAAAATGAGATTTTTGAAAACTAAGTAATGCTTTAAAGTGAGATTGGAATTGATTTGAGTTGAAACACATGGTGGTATTGTAATGATATAAATTTTGGATCGATGTTATGATTATAGGTGATTATGGGAATTGTTGAGATTATCTTTGATTATGTATTATAGTAATTATTCTTGTAGAAACGAATAAGCCAATTAAAACATTTGCAAACTCAAGTATCGCATTTGCATCACATGGTTTTGACTTGAGACAACATATGATTTTGAAAAGTGATGAACCCAGGGTAGGGAGTAAATAGCGTAGTATTCCGGTTAGTAGAGTCAGTTTTGGAAAATGAATTGTGTGTTGTATTAATACCTGCGCGGAGAGTCAAGGTGCCCAACTGCTCGCTTCATGCTGGACGAATGTGGGAAAGGTTTTTGGGTGGTCACTGGCCCTACCGTATCGAGCCGGCAAATGTGAAGAAACGTGTGTTTTAGATGCCCATTGCCCTTCTGTATCGAACCGGTAAATGTGGGACTATTTTGATATATAAAATCTATATATGTATTTGGCTCTTACCTTGAGATTCTAGTGCATATTTGCTGCCACGTTGTTAATGTTGGACTCTGGTTTAATAAAAGTGCATTGAGCATCATCCTTTTAACAGAGAAAATAATGGATTTTAGCATGCTATTTGTATCTTGCATGATCATAATTATATCAAGCATTCATAGACATTGTTAAAAGTATTTGGGGGTGTACTAGAATACTTTGAAAGGAATACATCAATTTCTATTCCCAAGGGTCGTCGTCCATTGATGGTGATTTTGGGAAGATTTTTCTTTTTATTTTTGCGTGTAATTTGATAGTTATTTCAAGATATTGCGTACAATTTATTAAATAAGTTTAACGGTACAAGTATCTATATATGATAGTACAAACTTGGGGTCAATTTTTAATTTGATTAAATTGTGAGGGCTTTGGCTTTAATTTATGAATTTGAACATTTAATTAAGTGGAGTATTTAATTTATTTAAGGTATGGAATTTTAATTCGGTTAAAGTTTCTTTGTTTTGAATTTTATTGCGAATTGTACTGAGAACCGGAAACCTAGGTTTTCTGTGTGGAAAATATACTTAGAAAATTAATTTAATTATTATTATTGCTTTAGAAATGGATCCTAAGTTCTCGAGTTCAATTTGGGGTTTGCGTGTTTCCGGTTGGCGCATGTTTTCGGGTTAAAGTTGAAATTAATTAAGAATTTGAGGGACTACAAATAAATAATTTAAAAGTAAGGGTTAAAGAAAATATTGCAAAGATCAGGGGCCTCATAACCTATCCCCCCTTAAAACAATTTTCTCCTTGAAATTTAACTACATATTGTTTTCAAATAACTGCAGATAGTTTGCTCTCATCAAGTCCTCGTGCTCAAGTACCCTTATCAAATGGATTGTCTTTCCCCTAAGGTTCTTCTTCCATTTGTCTTGAATTGCCATAGGCCCCTCTTCAAAAGTAGCATCTTTACTAAGGTTAATTTCCTTCAAATTAATGATGTGCAATGGATCTACAAAGTACTTCCGCAGTATAGATACGTGAAAGGCATCGTGTATTCTAGCTAACTACGGAGGTAAAGCCAACCTATATGCAACTTCTCCAATTTAATGTAATACTTCGAAGGGTCCGATACATAGAGGCAAGAGCTTCCCTTTCTTTCCAAAACGTATGATTCTATGTCAAGTTTGAACTTCTAAAAACACATGATTGCCTTCTTCTTCTATCTGTATAAGTCATTGGCAGTCCTAAGTTACCTTCAACCGTTGTCGGATAAGTTTGACTTTCTCAGTGGTTTCTAGAACAAGTTCATGTCCTACTAGACCTACTTCACCCACTTCAATCCAATAGATTGGTGATCGGAAAGGTCACCCATACAATGCTTCAAAAGGTGTCATCCTAATACTGGCTTGGAAACTACTGTTGTACAAGAATTCAATTAGTGGAAGTTGTCGTTCCCAATTTCCTTGAAAAGCCATTACACAAGCTCTCAACATATCTTGAATGGTTTGGATGGTGTGCTCACATTGCCCATTTGTCTGAGAATGAAAACCCGTACTAAAACACAACTCGATGCCCAGGGCTTCTTGTAGACTTCCCTAGAATTGAGAGGTAAAATGCAGGTTGTGGTCTGATATAATGGTTACCAGGATTCCGTGTAACCGAATGATCTCTCGAATATAAAGGTTGCACAAGGACTACAAGGTGTCAGTTATCTTGTAGGGTAGGAAATGGGTGGTTTTCGTTAGACAGTCTATTATAACCCAGATAGCATCATGGCTCCTTAGGGTTTTGGGTAACCCAGTCACAAAATCCATCGTTATATGTTCCCACTTCTATTTGGCTATTGGTAGAGGCTGTAACATTTCTCCTGGTTTTTGATGTCCTGCTTTCACCAGTAGGCATGTAAGGTATGTAGCCACAAACTGAGCCATATCTTTCTTCATACCACTTCACTAAAACTGTCGCTTCAAATCGTGGTACATTTTATTCCTTCCTGGATGTAGTGAAAGGGCCGAGTAATGATATTCCTTAAGTATTCTTTCTCTATGTGACTTGCTATTTGGTACAAATTGTCTGCTTTGGTATCTTAATTTCCTATCTGAGCGAATTGAGCAGTTGGGTACTGTTTTCTTCATTCCAAGCATGTCTTGATGAAAACTACTTCTTAATCGTGATCTTGAGCTCCCATGACTTCACTTACTAACTTAGGCATCATATTTGTGCACCAAGCTATGCCTTCCAATCTGGAACCTTCACTTGAACTCCAAATTCTTTAAGAATTTCAACCGTTTCCCACTAGTTTACCGCTAATCTAGCTATCATTCCCCTACTCCTGTGACTCATCGCATCTACAACAACATTAGCCTTACCGGGATTATACGAGAGAGTAAATTGAAAGTCTTCGTGATACTCCACCCAATGTCTCTAACTCAAGTTTAGGTCCTTTTGTGTAAACATATACTTTAAACTCTTGTGATTTGTGAAAATCCCAAACTGTTCTCCACACTAATAATATTGTTATTGTTTTAGGTCAAAAACCACAGCCACTAATCCAAGTCATGCGTTGGATAATTTTTCTCATGCGGCTTCAATTTCCTGGAACCATAAGCTACTACCTTCACGTTCTGCATGAGTACATAGCCTAACTCTTCATTGGATGCATCACAATACATGGTGTACCCTACATCTTGTTCTAGAATGATTAATATTGGTGCGTTGGTTAATATCGTCTTCAATTCCTGAACGACCTTTCGCAAGCTTCATTTCATTCGTACTTTACTTCTTTCTGCATCAATTGTGACATTGGCTTGGCTAGTTTAGAGAATTCTTGAATGAACCTTCTATAATACCAAGTCAGTCCTAAGAAACTACGAATTCCATATTGGTGCGTTGGTTAATCTTGTCTTCAATTCCTGAAAGACCTTTCACAAGCTTCATTTCATTTGTGTTTTACTACTTTCGGTATCAATTGTGTCATTGGCTTGGCTAGTTTAGAGAATTCTTGAATGAACCTTCTATAATACCCAGTCAGTCCTAAGAAACTACGAACTTCATTACAGTCTTTTGTTGCTTCCAATCCAAGACTGCTTCTACCTTGGTTGAATCTACTACAATCCATTTCTCAGATACTACACGTGCAAAAATTTTACTTCTTTTAACTGTAAGTCACATTTACTTGACTTGGCATACAGCTGGTTATCTCTAAGGACTTGAAGAACAATCTTCAAATGTTGTTCATGCTCCTCCTCGAACCTTGAATTTATTAAAATATCGTCAATGAACACTACTACAAACTGGTCAAGGTATGGTGTAAGGATCTTGTTCATTAGGCTCAGGAATACTGTTGGTGCATTGGTCAGTTCGAAGAGCATTACTACAAACTCGTAGTGACCATACGTAGTCTGAAATGCAATCTTCGGTATATCCTCGTCCTTGGCTTGTAATTGATAGTAACCTGACCTGAGATCAATTTTTGAACCTCTCAGTTGATCAAACAAGTCATAAATTCTTGGAAGCGGACACCAGTTCTTGATCCTGACTCGATTTAGTTGACAACAGTCGATGCATAACCTTAACGTCCCATCTTTTTTCTTGGCAAATAGAATTGGTGCTCCCCACGGTGAGGTACTCGGTCTAATAAATCCCTTTTTCAAGCAATTATAGTTTGTCATTAATTCCCATAATAGTTCTGCAGGTGTTGTATGATAAGGGGCCATTGATATTAAAGAGGTCCCAACCCGTTGGTAGTCTTGGTAATTCCTCAGGAATGACATTTGCATACTTACGGCCTACTCGAAGAAGTTCCATCTTAACCCGTTCTTTCTCATTTATAATCAAACTTGCCATCCATCTCGCAAGTTGATTGTGCTAACTTGTCTTACGTTTCATTATGGTAGGGAAATCTCGTCTATCTCCGTAAGCCACTACTCTCTTCTGATTGTGGGATCTAGACCCCATTCAAACTTCATTGCCTTTTGTTCGTCATTCTCTACGTATCGAGTGGCATTACGAGCCAATCCCTCAAACTTTGCAGCGTACTATGCCACTGCCATGGTGTCTTGTTCTAGTCTTGGGAACTCCAAAACTTGTTCCTGCTTGATGTTACTTAGGAAGTACTTTTTGAAGATTAATTCCTTGAATTGCTTCCAAGTCAAAGTTGAAGTGTTGCGATTACTTTTCATTAATGCCCACCAATGATCTATTTAATCGTCCAATTCGTACACACAGCTAGGGTAATATGGTTGGCATGTTCAATAATTCCCATTGTATCCAATCATTTTCTCAATTCCGCTATCCTTGTATTTGGTACCTCGGTGAATTTTGATGGCCTTTGCTTTCTAAATTCAGAGAAAATATGGGTTCTATTATTCTACCTATTTCCTTTTTATTTGTCCCAATTCTTCTAGAATCTGATGCCCCAAATAGTTAGGGATCTCGGCTCCTACAAGTATAGGTCCATTTTTATGGTGTTGATTTATTGGCATAGTATTTCTGGCGCTTTGTTGCTTGTTTCCGTGTAGTCGTTGGCATGTATATCCACCATCCTAAGACATAAGTTATGTTCTAATTATGGAGGTGAATCCTCAAGTGTAATTTAACTAGTCTTTAGGGTTTATTTATCCTAGGGTGTTTGAAACAATAAGATCAAATAGTAGGTAACAAATTTAGGGAAACACACAATGCAACTTCATATATATATATATGCAAAATAATAACTACCAGAGTTTGGTTAATGGAATCATTACGAAGTGGAGATTGTAGAGTATGAAGTGGTAATAGCATCAATTAACGCAAGGATCATCTGAAATATGGATAAATGATATAATGGAATGGATGACATTATAGTTTCAGACATCAATATGGTCAAGGTTACAGAGGTAGTGACTAAGCTAGATATTTAATTTGAAACTGCATTGGCCATCCGTTTTTTAAACTGAATATCCAAGATTCGTCACCAAGTAAATAAAATGAAACTATTTCTAAGAACCCTTATGCTAAATAATCAAGGCTCAAAAGAGGTCAATTTTACAAAAGGTAGTATATAAAATAGAACTGGATGGTCATGAGTTAATCTTGGAAAATGATGACATCGAATAAAGATTATGAATACAAGATGAGGGTATGCCGATTGATAGAAGATGCGTCGAACTAAAAATACCCCTACTGCGCGATGTAAGGCCTTGCTCCGAGTTAAAACCACTTCTCGATCCTAAAATACGTCCTCATGAGTCAATGTTGCTATGCCCAAAATTCAAAGAAATGCCCTAAGATAAGTCAAGATAATTTCTATTTTTTATGTCTTTTAGTTGATAGAACAGGCATTGTTGTAATAATATAACATAGTCGGAGCAACGAAGTCACTAACCGCAAGTCACAATGCGTGGGTAAGGGTTGAACTGAGGCTCTAATACCAAGTTATGATGCCCTAATTTTTTCTCTAAGGGTTATGGTAACGTCACCAAAGTGTCATTTTGTGAATAGCCAAGTAAGATATCACGAAGGTCGAAGGAATTAATATAGCCTCCCTTCTAAGTCCAACCACCTTAGATAGCAAGCAATCGTTTTGACAGATCTTAAGAGATATTAACACAAGGTCTCATAAGCAATGCGAAGATAGGCGTAGGACTACAAAAGCAAATAATAATTATAGTGTTTCAAATCTTAAATTACAAAATGAGTTCCATTACTATTACAATCCAAAAATAAAAGAACGAATAGACTCACAAGCAAAATGGCTTCTAACTTTCTCTACAACAGACACAAGTCTTCAAATGTTTCTGGCTCCTCGTCGATCTTGTATGTTTCATCGATACCTGGCATGAAATGCCATGTGCTTTGAATGCCAGTAAATGCATACACACCCTATCCCTTTTTCCCAATCTAATACACAATAACATTTACAACAATAAAGGAAAGAAACATGATATTCAAGTAAATAACGAGGGTTACAAGGTTAGTTGTTAGTAGTCTAGAAATCTCCCAAAGAGATTTCATCCTCCCAACGACAAGAATCGGACGCAGATTATTCGTCTGCCCCCTCTTTTGCTGCTTTGTTGCAGACCTTACCTCGGATGTTGTAGACACCCCATTTTTGACTGTCCTCAAGACTTGGACGTCACCGTTTGAACACTCGGTGATCATCCTTGTTCGTGTTCGTCTTGAGTTCCAGGAGGCCTCGGCTGCGCGCCTTGCCTCAGGATCTCTCGACTCGACCGTTTTGTTTCTGGTTTTGCACCAAACACTTGTGTTTTCGCTTTGGAGGGCAGGGAATGGCTTTTGGGACATCCCCACATTCCACCACCAATGGCTTGAGGCCACCAGCTGTGTTTAGTTGCCATCGGCCAAATGTGATGGTCGGCCGGCCAGTTTGACTGCCGGTCGGCTACTTTTATGGCCGGCCAGCCAAGTGTGGTTTTCAACAGATATTTCTGTAGACAGTTGGCAGCTATTATTCTAGGCCATACCCCAGCCCATACCTGGACGTGGGTGTTCTGAGGAGCTGCAGATTGATACATATCTATATCAATCAAGCTCTCTCACTTAGGAGAGAAGAAGGAGGAGGAGATATACAACTTGGAGCAAAAAATCTCTCTCTCTCTCTCTCTACATTTTCTGCCTCTCTCTTTAAGGTTTAGGGCTTGTTTGTGCTTAAAAGTGCATTTTCTTTGCACTTTTGCACACAAACACCTAGTTCTCTACTCCCTTTATTGAGCTGAGGTTGTTGGAGGTGATTCTTGGGGTGATTTGAAGCCCTTTTTGGTCCAAAAGTTGCTGATTTGCTACTGTGCTTCAAGGGTAAGACTTTTGTCCCTTTTTACCCCATTTTTGCAAAGCTTTTTAGCCTATCTTGCATCTGTTTTTGAGCTTAGCATATAACATATAAAAGTTCTATTTTTGAGTGCTCTAAATAGTTTGTTAAGGGTGTTTTAAGCTTTAGGGTTGTTTGACCCCTCTTAAGGCTTGTTTGGCCTTTGTTTTGTGCCATTTTGGTTGAGCTCCGGGACCATTGTGTTCGGGCCTCCTCACCACTGAAATCTTGAGGGATTTCAGAGGTGAGGATAGTGCCTTGAGGTCCTAGGAAGGAGAGGGCCACCCCCTCTCATTGTTGTCCTTTAAAAGGGCTATTTTTGCCTCTTGAGGGAGCATCTAGTTTAAGTTGTGTTGACCATGCCTTAATTGATTTTTGTGCTTATTATGTCATAATATTACTCTATTTTCAGTGGGTTTAGGTACACCATACTTGCTTAGCATACATGCCTTGTAATGCCATGTTTAGGCCTTAACATGCTTTAGGTTTTTACCCTTATTTTAGCATGATTTTGGCCAAGCTTTGTAAAGCTTTTGTGTTGATTTTAGCATGCTTAAGCTCTGTTTTTGGTTGTTTTGGTTGACCATCACATGCTTAGTATAGCTACCTTGCATTTTGGCTTGTTAGCCTTAGGTGTGTGATTATGTGGCATGCTTTACTTGCCTTGTTTTAGTGGTTTGATACTACTTATAGCATCATTTCAGTCCTCATGACATGCTTGTATGCTTGCCTTTGATACCTCTTTGATGCCTTATGAGGTTATGCCTTATGCTCCATGTTTGGTCATTGTGCATGCCCTTGAATTTAAGTCATTTAGATGCCATCTAAGTGGTCTTTAGGCTTTGTTTCAATATGCTAAAACTTTTTTTTGATCATTTAATTCATGCCATGTTTGGTTTTGCTAAGGGTAGTTCAATACCTCCTTAGCTTGTCTTAAGTACTTGGACCATTATTGCATGCTTTGCTTGTTTGGATTAATTGGTTTGGCACCTCTCTTTCATGCAATTTCAGAGCTTATGATACATGCCATATGCCCATGTTTGTCTTCCTTTAAGTGTGCTTAAAGGTTGCTTATTTGATGTTCAAGTGTTAGCCCATTTGCATGCATGTGTGTGTGTGTATTGGTTATCATTTCCATAGCATTGACCACTGTTTTAGGCTTGTTTAAGGGCTGCCTAATTTAGTTTAAGTCCACCCTTTGGCATGTTGTTGCATGCTTAGCTTATGACATGTTGTTGCATGTTGAAATGATGTTGCATTTGGCACGTATTCTCCTCCTTGTTTTGGTTGCTTAACATACCATATGTTTTGCATGCTTGTGTGTTGACATTGTGCCTTGTATGCTCATTTAACTTGCCTGCTTGTTATATGCCTTGCATGCTTCCCATATGCTCATGTTGCATGCCTAGTTAACATACTTAGGTTGCATTGCATTTGCATGCATCTTTCACCTCTTGATCAAGCCAGATGGAGGTTGAAAACCCTTTTGTTTGCTTATTTGCATTGCATTTCATTTAAAATCAAAGTGCATACTTGGTTTCTTGGGCCATCATGCATTGAAATGCACGATTGATGGTCCGAGAATCGAGAACCGTGTCCCTTTGAGTCATAAACATGATAGGGGATATGTCGGTGCATACATTTGCTTGAAATACATTGCCATGCCTTACCTGCCCTCTGCTGCTGTCAAACAGGTTTCTGCAGGAAGTTTTGGCCGGCCGGCCATATATACTGCCAACCGACCAAATATATTTGGCCGAGAGCTCAATGGATGGTCGATGACCACTTCAAAATGGCCGGTAATGATCCCACTCAGCCTGTGGTGTTCCACAACACTCAGAGAAGCAACCTTGGGAGTTGTGCAATTTTCAGAGAAGCAGAACAGTCAAAGCAGAGGCAAACTTGTGC